CATCCTGAAGAAAGTATGGGAAGGACTTGGGGGCATACCAGCTTTGGAGATGGACAGTATCTACTCTATCAGGACATTTTGCTTCTTACTTCTTTTACCAAACACCCGTCTTTGTTCTTGCCAAGCTTGGGTAACCGCAGCAGAACAATGGCGCAGGGGGAGAGGCTGAGCATCAGTGTGTGGGTTCAGAAAGTGTCTGTGTTCTGAGATCGTGGTTCACATGGTACCCTCAAAAGCCATTGTGAGTCTTATCTGCCTGGGCACAGGGGGTGGCAGTAGGGAATTCAGCGACAGGCAAGGACAAAAACTAACTGCCTATGGCTGGACAATGGTGATTTTCTAAGCACATTTTTACTCTTCTCTTGGTCTGGAATAGGCTTTCTGTCTCACAGCGATGAGCCACCATTTCTCAGTCGCCCGTTTGATTTTTGCAAGCAGATATGAATTTTCGGTGTTTTAACTTTTGAGAGGCTATTTCCCAAGGCCATTTTAGGAGTGGACATGGCTCCACATGCCACAAACCCAGCCAAACAATGTAGTTTTGAGTCAGCCTCTTCCTTTCCCTGTACACTTCCCCATTCCTCCCTTGAGGCACATCTGGGCTTTAGGAGGATGGAGGACATAATTGCCCTGGAGGTATAATTCTCTTAGAGAACAAAAGAACTTTGAAACTACACACACACACACACACACACACACACACACTCTACACATGTGGGCAACAGAAAGGAAAATAGTTCCAATTATTGAATTTTAAGAGAAAAACTGTTTTTACCAGTCAGTTGAATCATAGTTACTTAAAATGTTAGGAATGGCATTTGTTCCAAAAGGAAGATTAAGCAGTGGTGTCAAGGGGAGTGGCTCTGATGAGAAGGTGGTTTTTTTGTTTTGTAAATATCTGCAGTTATGATTGGGTCTTGGTGTGTATATTTTGCAGTCAAGTGTTTTCTCCTTTTCTGAGAATACGTGACACCCATCTCAGGAAAGAAGTAGATCCATAACTCGTAAGTCCTACATCATATCTCCAACATGGCAGCCACCATTATTTGCCCAGACACTTCACTCATCAGTGTGGAAGAGCAGAAAGATTTGGCACCAGAAAGACAGACTTGAATCCTAGCTCTTCTGTCTAATAGTGGGGGAACCTTCCTTCACCCTGCAGTTCCTCATCTTCAAAGCAGAAATTGTTGGAGGATTAACCATAATAGCTACCATTTATCATATATTTACATCACCACCACTACTGCTGCTGCTAAGCAGTTTCCATAATGTTCTCATTTAATCCTCCAACATCCAGTGAGATCCTTTACCTCTAGACTCAGAAGGGCTTTCCATGCACAAAGCTGTCAACAACACTTTAGAGAAGCAGCTATTGCTTAACTACCTTAACACCTATCTCAAAAGGACTAATAATATGCCTACTATAAAAATTTCAGACCTTTATAGAAAAATATGCAAAGCTAGAAGTAATTCAGAGAAAAGCAAGTATAGAAACTAAAAATTTTTCAAATATTTAATATCACTGGTAATCAAGGATATTAACAAAAAGAATACCACTTTTTGACTATCAAACAACAGAAGTCTTTTTTCAGTGAAAGTACTCAGTGTTAGCCAGAATATAGTGAATGCCACACCCTTTTACGTTGCTGTTGGGCATGTAAATTGGAACAGCTTTTCTCCAGAGCAATGTGACAAAATGTGTCAAGAGCCTCAACACATGTTCACACTCAGCTGATTTGGTAATTCCACTTCCAGGAACTTATCCTGAGGAAAGAATCAGACACGTGGGCAGGGATTTATGTAAAAATGCAGACTTCTGTGGTATTTTTAATTGGATACAACCCAAATGGCTAACAATAGAAGGTAACTCCATAGGACAGAATGATATACAGCTATTATAAATTATGTTTTTAAAGAATATCAAATATTAAATGAGGGAAAGTCTTAAATGAATAAACAATATGATCCCAATTTTATAAAAAGGAAAAAAATACACATATAAGATAAAAAACTAAAAAGAACTCTCAAAAAAACCCCAAAATGTTAGCAGTGATCTGTATCTAAGTGGTGGATTTATGAGTGATTTTTATTTTTTTAAGTTTTTAAATGTTTATTTTTGAGAGAGAGAGAGAGATCATGAGCAGGGGAGGGGACAGAGACAGAGAAGGAGACACAGAATCCAAAGCAGGCTCCAGGCTCTGCACACACATGCACTATAGCTCTTAAGTGTGACATGGTTCCATTGGTACATGCCAAAAGGGAGGGCTATCTGCATAAATAGCTACAGATATAATCACTAAGTTTGAGAGTTGATAGAACGCTATGGTTTCCATGGATTAAAAAATGTGAAAGAGGGGCGTGTGCCTAGGTGGTTCAGTTGGTTAAACGTCCAACTTGGGCTCAGGCCATGATCTCATGGCTTATGAGTTCGAGCCCTGCATCAGGCTCTGCACTGATAGTCCAGAGCCTGCTTGGGATTCACCCTCTGTTCTCTTTCTCTCTCTCAAAATAAATAAACTTTAAAGAAAAAATTTTAAATATGAAAGAAAAGGAGAACAGAGATGAGCTGTCCTTGAACTAGAAGTTCGCAAACCTATTTAAGCTAAATATCTGATGCTGGAGTCTGGGGTGTGTATTTTAAAGACTGCAGGAGGGGCACCTGGGTGGCTCAGTTGGTTAAGCATCCAACTTGGGCTCAGGTCATGAACTCACAGTTCATAGGTTCAGGCCCCACATCTGGCTCTGTGCTGACACCTAGCTCAGAGCCTATGTCAGACTCTGTATCTCCCTCTGTCCCTGACCCTCCTCTGTTCATGCTCGCTCGCTCGCTCTCTCTCAAAAATAAGTAAAAAAAAACGTTAAAAAAAAGAAAAAGACTGCAGGAAATTCTGATTCAGCCTATCCAAGCTGGCAATTGAAAACCACTATCTTAGAAGCACTGTGCTGTCATATATTTTATTCTGCTCAGTTTAATATGGTGAGCTCTTGTAATGTAACTAGTGTAACTGAGGAGTTGAACTTTTAATTCATTAATTTTTAATCAAAATGTAAATAGCCACATGTGGCTACCATGTTAGAACACCTTACCAACCACCATGTTAGAACAGCCTTAACCGATAGTCCACTGCCTTCACTTGGGGGTATTTGAAATGAGGCCAGTTTTCAGCCCACCCTTCCAACAGGTTGTGCATTTCATCGCTGACATAGTGATGCTCAGGTGGCAGCTCAGAGCTTTCACGTGTAACTTCTGGGTACCAGTGGCAGCAGATGTGGCTCCAGAACTTCTCATTGGGCGGTTCAAGGGCCGTCTTGCCTTCCACAGCCACACTCAGTCACGTGAGCTGCATTTGATGATATCACTGGCTCACCCGAGTCTTCAGCCCGCTGCTCAGAACATCCGATGACACTGCCACAGAACAGAAACCCAAGCTCTCGTTCTCACCCCAGGATTGCTAACTCATTATGTTTGTTTTTGTAGTTGTTTTATTTTTAACTAAGGAAATCATTTCTAATCTTCTCCCCTGTTGTTTAAAGGGTTTAAAAGTTCAGCATGGTGAGTTTTTATGGGACTTTTATGGGAAGCCAAGTGTTGTAAACATATCCAAATTATCACAGTAGTGTAGTTTCCCACATCCTTTTCCTATGCACACCGACCTGATTTCTCTTCAGAATGTGAAACAGATAGGCCCAGTTAGAATCCTCCAGCTATTCCAGGCCCTTTGTTAGGGCTTCTTGTGTTCTGAACCTGGAGAGATAAGGATAACTCTCAAACAGAAACAGTAGTCCTTGTCAAGACTATAAGCCAGATGCAGGCAGGGGTTGCGATCACCCATCCTGGGCTGTGTGTCCAGGAAATCAATGGGCTGTGCCGCATTGTAACGTGGCACCTGCCATCTCATAGGGGCTCAGTGCATATTCGTTGAATGAATTAATATTCTTTTTTTTTTTTTTACAAATAGTTTATTGTCAAATTAGTTTCCGCATAACACTCAGTGCTCATCCCCACAAGTGTCCTCCTCCATGCCATCCCTCCTCCCCCCCACATCCATCAGTCCTCAGTTTTTGTCAGCATTCAAGAGTCTCTCATGGTTTGCCTCTCTCCCTCTCCCCCACCATTTCCGCCCTTCTTCTCCCCCTTGTTCCTCCGTCAAGTTCCTCCTAATCCTCCTATACGTGCAAACATATGATATTTGTCCTTCTCTGCCTGACTTATTTCGCTCAGCATAACACCCTCAAGGTCCATCCATGTTGCTACACATGGCCAGATTTCATTGTTTCTCATTGCCATGTAGTATTCCATGGTATAGATAAACCACATCTTCTTGATCCATTCGTCCGTTGATGGACACTTAGGCTCTTTCCATGTTTTAGCTGTTGGCGGAGAGTGCTGCTATGAACATTGGGGTCCATGTGCTCCTATGCCTCAGCATTTCTGTATCCCTTGGGTAAATTCCCAGCAGTGCTATTGCTGGGTCATAGGGGAGTTCTATTGTTAGTTTCCTGAGGAACCTCCACACTGTTTTCCAGAGGGGCTGTACCAGTTTACATTTGAATGAATTAATATTCTTGCAATAAAGAAAGTGGGCTGAAGGGATGATATACAGAAGAGAAGACACGATCCGGGAAAAGGCCACATTTGGGATAAAAGTGATTTGATCTAGGACAAAGTGCTTGCCCTCCACGACTTTCCTCCAGCAGGTAAGAAGAAGAAGGATTATGGCACCAAATAATCTAGTTCCATTCCGGTGAAGATCACTTTATACCACCATGTTGAGTTCCTAGACCCGTGATCATGAAAAGCTCTGAAGAACTGAAATTGCTTGCAGAGGGGAAACCAGGAAAGATCGGTTTAATTTCAGCTCTTCATAATTCAAACGCTCTTGTGCCGTGGCCTTTTCATGTTTCATCTAAGGTTGCAGTTCTAAGCAACTTAGCAGTTGGGCTATAGTTGTCCTGTATCTGCCCACTTATCAGCATTTTTTATTTTCCTGAAATTTTAGGCACAGAAAAATGAGAGAGAATCTATCCGACAGAAGTTGGCACTTGGAAGCTTCTTTGATGATGGCCCAGGAATTTATACCAGCTGTAGCAAAAGCGGGAAGCCAAGCCTTTCCTCTCGGTGAGTGTTCTTTTGAGTTGATTTTCTGATATGTACCTAATGGATTTTGTCATCCGACTATACATTTAATAAAAGATACCTTTTAAACCCTTGAGTACTTTTTTCCCATAATATTACCACCTTTATTTGGATTCTAGACAGACCCCCAAACACACACACACCACCTGTTGGGTTTGTTTTTTTGCTTTTTAGTTTTCACCCAGCCACTTGCGGTCATATTTCTATATTTCATTTTTTTTTCCTAGACACAATTGTGATTTTGCTCTGTGATGGGGAAATCAAGCCACACTCTTAATCAAGCTGGCTGGTGTTTAGAGAAGTGTGGCAGACCACCAGATTTCCCATTAAGCAGTTCCAAAGCATCCAGCATCACCCCCCTCCGAAACATTTGATTGCAGTGAATGCCGGTAACTGAGAAATACAATTCCCACTTTGATCATTCGATGTTTATTACAGTGCTTAACCTGTCCTCCAGGGATTATTCCTTTATCTTAATTTATTTCAGGACATCACTGCTTATTTATTGTAACTTATTTCAGGCTACCATCGGTCATTTGCATAGCTTTTAATTCCAGTTAAGATATATTAAAATTCTAATTGTACCTAGAAGACAGGGCTGTAGACCAGAGCTTCCCAAACTTTAATATGCATATGAATCACTTCTGGTATAAATACTGGCTATATTTACCATGTTAAGCCAGGTGTGGGAGACACATGATAACGTTTATGCATTTATTTAACCAACAAATTTCCACTCTCTCCTTACTGTGATGTCCAGAATTAGACACTTTAATGTCTACTTAAATATATTCTATCTGGCTTTCAGTAAGCCTTGTACTTCAGTCTGATCCTTAGAGACTCATCTGAATCAGCGAAAATCAGAAAGCACCCTCACGCTCCCATATACACACACGTTAAGAGTCACTGCTGTGGGTTCAAACATGGAGATCGGAGTCTTATCCTCAGCCGGGTGCCCATCGGGTCTCTTAGGGTCCCCTCACTTTTTTCACGTGTCATTCCAGAGCCAGAAGGCCACCCTTCCCTTTGCCGGAAAGCACCTCTTTCCGCTCCCAGTAAGGAGGCGGCAGAAGGAGCCCTGGCTGAGGAACCTGCAGACCTGAGGATTAGTCCTGGTCGGTTTCTCATTTTGAGACTTTAAGAAATTCCATTCTGTCATGCCTCCCTTTCTTCATTTTTGTAAAATGAGGAGATTTGACCATACAGATCTCTACTGCTTTTCTTTAATATTCCCCAGAGCACTAAAGAGATTGCTTTTAGAAACACCATCTCTCTGCTCAGCAAAGTCATATTCATCTGGCCCAAATGGAAGGTTTTTGTTTTTAAAAATCAAAGTTTTACACACACACACACACACACACGCACGCATACATGGCTCTGAAAGTAAAATTAACAGTAACTACAAGGTGTATAATAACAACACAAAATAAAGATAACTGTTACCTGTTCCATCTGTCTCTAGGTTGTCCTACTCTCCAGAAACAATAACTTTTAACTCCTTGACTGTTTCTTTTGGTAATTTGCCTATATATCTGTAAGTAAAATGCTTATTTTCTTAGTCTTTTAAACAACCAGCTACCAGCTACCAGCTATAGAAAATTATAATTCAGGTCTTTTACAGCCCTCCCACAGACAAACCTGTGTATTTCTCCCATCCTCCCTTTAACATTGTTTCGTAACTTGGGGTCAGATAACAGTTCACTGCTTACATTATGAAGATCATAGATTATTTATATTGAACCATGTAGTAAACTGTGATTACTTGAGAAACTTTAGTGTTTGTCTTGAGATGAAAATTACCTCCATTTTCCCCTTTGTGCCAGTCCATGGTTTTGACTGCTATATTATATTCCACTGTGTGACTATATTACAGTTTATCCAGCCACTGTTCTGATTACAGGCACTGAGTTTGTCTCAAAGGTTTTGCTCTTGTAAACAGTGCTGCTTATAAACACTTACAAACACATGTCTCCGCTATCCATGTGCAAGTCTCTCTTTGGTGTACACCTGGGAACAGAGTTACTGGGAAAACACGTGAATGTTCATATTTAGAAGATAATGCCCAAAGTGTCCTCCAACATGATTACAAGTTACACTGTGACGGGCAATGTGTCAGAAATCCTGTTGATCCATAGTCTTTCTAACCCAATATTGCCAATCTCTTTCACGTTTTTGGTAATTGAATGGATAGCAAATGGTATTTCACTGTGCTTATTACCCATCTTCGTTTCCCTTTCTGTGAAATGTCTATTTGGGTCTTATGTCCAAATTTCTGTTGGATTCATTCTGCTTTTTAAAACTGATTTTATCAACATTTTATAGTCATGATACTAATCCTTAATATGTTGTATGTATTGCAAGTATCTTTTCCCAGGTTGTGGCCCGTCTTTTTGCTTCCTTACTGTGTCTTTAATGACCAGAATTCCTTCTTATCAGACTTTTATAGTCCATGTTTTCTGTGTCTTGTATTAAAAATGTTCTACCCCAAGGTCCAAAGGACATTAACCTAGATTCCCTACTGAGAGTTGAGAGTGTTGATCTTTTAAGTCTGTAATCAATCAGGAGTTTATATGGTTATGGAGATGTCTGATTTCATCATTTTCCATTTACATGAACATTTTCCCCATCCTATTTATTTAAAAAAATCTTTCTTTTACTCACTGATCTGACAGACCACTTCTGTATATACTATACATTAATGGGAATACACTCTATTTCATTAGTTAGTGTTTCTATCCCTGTACCAATACCATTAAGTCTTAATTACTGTAGCCTCAAAATAAATTCTACTATCTAGACAGGCAAGTCCCTTTCCTCTTCTTCAAAAATATGCTAACTGTTCTTGCTTTTTATTCTTCCATATAAATTTTAAATCATCTCATCAAGTTCAACAAAATAACTCTCTTGGAATTTTTGACTGGAATTGCATTGAATCTATAGATCAAGTCAGATGAGAATGCATTTTTATAATATTAAATCTCCCTACCCATGAACATGGCCTTTCTTTCTTTTATTTAGATCTTATTGAATATTTCTTATTAAGGTTTTATAATTTTTCATGTAGAGATGTTATACATCTTTTGTCATACTTATTTCTAGATACTTGACATTCTGGTATTATTTTAAATTCTCTTTTATAATGAGTTTTCATTGTTTTGCTGCTGAACAGAAATGCAGCTTGTTTTGTATACTAGTCTTATATCCATCCACTTCACTATATTGTTCCTATTACTTGTCTGCCATCCTGTTACCTCTCATAAAGTTGTCTATAGATTCTTTGGGATTTTTAAACAGTATCATCCAAAAAAGAACAGCTTTGTTTATCATGTGTTGCTCTCCAGTCCTCATTCCTGGTTTGTTTGGTTTTTTTTTCCTTTTATTGTATGGGTTAGGACCTCAATATACTGAGAATTAAAAATGGTAGTAGTTTTTAAGGGCATCTGGCTGGCTAAGTCAGTTAAGCGTCCAACTTTGGCTCAGGTCATGATCTTACAGTTTGTGAACTCAAGCCTTGCATCAGGCTCTGTGCTGACAGCTCAAAGCCTGAAGCCTGCCTCGAATTCTGTGTCTCCCTCTCTCTCTGCCCCTCCCTTGCTCGCACTGTGTCTCTCTTTCTCTCTCAATAATACATAATCATTTTTAAAAAATTGTAGTAGTTAGAATCTTTAGCTCATTCTCATATTAAATGAAACACTTCTAATGTTTTCTCACTTAGGATGATGTTAATTTTAGGTTTTCTTTAATGTTTCTCATTATCAGTTAATTATGCTTTGTTATATTCATAATTTACAAAGAATTTTTTTTCATGAATAGGTATCTGATTTTATCACATGCTTTTTCTGCATCTCTTGAGATCATTATATGATTTACTCTGTTAATCTATTAATGAATTACATGTATAGTTTAAAATATTGAACAATCCTTGCATACCTAGTATAAAGCAAAATTGGTTGGATTTTTTTTTCAGGCACTATTGAATTTTCGTTGTAGTATTTTGTTTAGGATTATTACATTTATATTCATGAATGACATGGGTCTGCTGTATTCTTTTCTCCTAGTATTTTTTTCTTCTCGTTTTTGTATCAGAGATGTGCTGGCTTAAAGATAAGTTGGCTACTGTTCCTTCTTTCAGTGTCTAAGAAAAGTCTGCATAATATTGGAATATGCTGTTTGTCACCTATGTAACCATCTGGGCCTGCTATTTACTTTGTTTGCTTTAACTGCTTACACTTTTTAGATGATCTTAAGATTTTACATGTTTCTTCTTGAGTCAACTCTGATGGGTTGTATTTTCCTAAGACTTTTTCCATTTTGTGTTCAGTTTTCAAAAATTCTTGAAATGATGCTTCCTCATTTTACTGTAGATATTAATTTTAGGTAAATTGTTTAAGATGTTTTCTTCTGATTTATACATTGTCCATGATTTTTTCTGAGTTTATATTTTGTTTTGATTTCTCTGCGTCAATAATTCAGTATAAAATGCTAAATGTTGTTGGGCAAACTCTCTGGTTGGGCTACTGTTTCCTCAAAGAGACCTTCCCTGACCATTTTCTCTCCTCTTACCCTACGTATCCTCTTACTCTTTGTTTTCCTTTGTGGTCCTTATCACTACCTGATATCATATTTTATATATGATATATATATGTATATACATACATATGTGTGTGTGTGTGTATGTGTACATATTTTAATCCATTCTTTGTCTTTCACTAGCACTAAATATAGGCTCTAAGAAAGAAGAAAGCAGGTCTTTTTCTGTTTTGTTTACCACCATAACTATTGCCTAAATAATGCCTAATAGTCACTAAATATTTGTTGAATTAAAGAGTGGTTAACTTTCCCTTAGAATGGTCAAATAAAAATGCAACTATTTCATTAAGCATCCACATAAAAGTATGGGCTATAAGATGCATAGACCACTCTCCAACCTCGCCCTGAGGAGTTTTGAGCCTGGCTGCCAGTATTTTAAGACTCTAGCAGGG